ACGGTGGCAGACAATCAATCATCACCCCGTAGCTGATCCAACCCACAAATATCTTTCGGATGACTTCTTATTAATTTGTAGGTGACCATTCTACTAGATTAGCAGATAATTCCATGGTTGGCAACTCTTAATTGCTCTGGGTGACAAGGTTTCAGTTGTTGTTTTAGCGTTGGAAATTATTCCTGCAACTATAAAGTATTCCTGGGCCCAATTATAACCCTCTGTGAAGTCCATTGGCTGTGGTGATTGTGTTTCTAGGGTTTTTAAACACTTTTAGTTATCATAAGATGGGTGCAAATGTATTGGTTTCTTATTAAAATTCCTTAACATTCGATACCATTTCTTTTTGCGAAAACATCTTGTTACTTACGACTTCTGCCAAAAATGTTACATCATTGAAGCCTAGTAACTCTGAGTAGTTCATAAATTTACTCTGTTCTACTTCCCAAAGTTAGCTGAAGGTCCCTTCTCATATTCTCTGCGAACAGGATCTAGTCAGAAGTACAGGAACAATGTATATAGTGTAATTTTAACATTTTTAATTTTGCAGCATTGTAGTCACGGAACGTAACTAAGATTGATATATATAATAATATGCAGGTACCATATGGGGGCCAAGGTGGGTATTGGATACCAGAGATTTTGACTCCAACTAGAGTTAACCTATTTCAAGTGGTTCTTAGGTATTGGATTTTGGTTCACTTAATAGTAGACTAGTGAATAAGAGTGAAAAAATGATAGTATGATGATACTTCCTGAGAGGTTCTAGTAGAATGAGTGAAAATAAAAACTGTACAAGGAAATAAAAGTGGTTGAGATACTAGAGAGTATAATAAAAAATGATAATCAGAGTACTTGTGCCAAGGTTGTGACTCTCCTGTCACTGTTCCTAGTTGCTCACATGTTCATAAGCTTTGGACACTCCTTTGGAGTGCCCGACCGCTTAACAATAATTTCATACTCAACAACATATTTCTAAAATAATGGTGTTCAATATTATATTTCTACTAGATTTTCTATATGAATGGAATAGGACTCCTGTATTATTGAAGACAGATATCAAATTAGTCTGTATTATAATAAATTGCTTAAACTCTTCTCAACAAAATAATAAAACTCAGTTAAATCTCATTATAATATACTAGTACTATTACCATTCACTTTAGACTGTAGTAAACAATTATCATTGAATTCTCAACCTAAAGTAATCTCTACTATTGAAGTCTCTACCTAAAAGAATCTCTAACATTGAAGTATCTGCCTAAAGTAATCTCTGCCATTGAAGTCTATACCTAAAGTAATTTCTGTATTAGAAGTCCCAGGATCCAATACCTAGGAACCATCTTAAGTAGGATAACTCCGCTCAAAATCATGATTTCTGGTGTCCAACACCCTCATCTGGCCTCCTTATGAGGCACACATGTCATTATATATATTGATCTTAGTTGTGTCCTATGACTATAATGCCACAGAATTGAGTGTCAGAATAACACCATATATATCACTGCTATCCATCTGCCTGGCTCCTGTTTACAGGATATATAAGAGGAGACATTCAGTTAGATCTGGCCAGTGGAATAGAGTAAATCCGTTATCTACTCTGAGAGTTACTAGGCTTCAAAGATGGAACATAATTGGTAGAAGCTGTAAGTAACTAGATACTTTTATGCAAAAGATGTAGTATTGAATGTTAAAAAACTCTTTGTCAAGAGCTAATACATTTTCATCCACCCTACATTAATTAGGAGAGTCTAGAACTCCAAGGAATACTATCAAAGAAGCCAATAAACTTCACTGAGTGTTGCAACTAGGTCTAGGGATATATCATGATTGCAGAAATTATTCCTAATACCGAACAGCATCTAAAACCTGTAATCTAGAATAATCAAAAGTAGCTGACCATGGGATTATCTACCAATCTGGTAGAATAGCCTCCTGCGAATTAGAAGGAAGTTACTTAAAATATATCTATAGGTTACATCAAGAGTTATGAAAGATAGAAGTTGGTGACCTAAGAAGGTGGCATTTGTAACTACTCCTATAGACATAACCTGCAGATGAAACTGATCATTTCATCAATAAGAGAGACTATTGGAGTCAACTCAGTTCAACTTGAGAGCTAGGCCATAAGTCTAATAACTCTGAAGATCTGATAATTGCTATTAGAAACTATACAGTTTCCAATTGATGAAATAGTTATTACTACAGAGGATGTGATAGTTTTCAGGATCCCCTCCAGTTCGCACTGCAGAAGAATACTCAATATTGCGAGTTCTAGTTAAAGAGGTACATAATTTGTATGAGAGATAGATGTAGTCCACAAATACTCAGATGCAGAATATAAATATCAAAGTATCTCTCAAGCTTTTTAACATCATTAAGCAACCAAGAAGAGACCTTAACAATATAATATTGTTGTCACAATTTAATTCTGTTTTTCTACACTCTTAGTCATCATAAATAAAACAAGTAACCCTTTGAGCCTTTCTAGACAAATCTCCATCTGTAATAAAAATCTTGATTGACCTAATTTACGATTCTGAGTCTATACAGATTGTCTCTGCCTAACACTCTGCCATTGAAGTTTATAGCATGGTATTCCCATTCTAAATCTCTCTAAAATATAATATACTACTATAAAATGTACTTTAAGTTCTTAATTACATTATACTATCATACCTCAATATACTCTACAGAGACCTACTATTGAAATTATACCCTCCACAATCACACCAGTCAAAGATGCCAGATCTAAATATATCCAAGTCAAGAGAGTTTCATCAGGCTGTTGAATCAAGAATTCAGCAAGCAATTAAGGTTCAGTTATCCTGTGAAGTTGATAATTCAAATTTAGCAGCTGCAGCATGTGAGTTTAATGTTCCACCTTAAAGTTTAAGTGCATACTGGAATGGTAGAGTTTCTAAGTCAGAAAGGCAAGCTGCAAGCACAAAACTTAATGAGGAGCAAGAGCTAGCAGTATGCCAATACCTTGATCAATTAGAAACTATTGAAATCTCAACTCACCTGCAAATAATTAGTCCCTATGCGAATATGATTTTATTTCAAGAATATTCAAATACAACTAAACCTGCTACGGTAGTTGGAGAATGCTGGACATGAGAATTTCTTAAGCGATATCCAGAGTATTATGATTGAAAGCGGTATACAATTAACACTAACTGTAAAAATGTACATGATGCTACCTCAATATCTGACTGGTTTTCACAGTATAAAGATATTTATGAAAAATACTAAATTGAGCTCTAAGATCAAAATAATTTTAATGAAACTGGCTTCTGAAATGGAGTTGAACACAACAACCAGTAGATTATCACACAAGACCGAAATCCACTGGCCTACTTAGATAGTTCTATAAGCTGTAAACTTACCACTATTTGTGAAATTATTAGCGCTAATGGAGTTGTACTGCTACCAATGATAATTCTCTCTGCAGATATCCTAGATAATTACTATATAGGAGTATTAGAAATTGGATACTCCAATAACCATTTAATATTGAAATAGGTTACCTATTTTGAAAGGTTTTATTCTCAATGTCAAATTGGAACTTATCAACTGCTTCTCCTTGATGGCTATAGTTCTCACTGTACTAGCTAATTCATTGAGTACTGTGATAGGGATAAGAAATTATATTTTGTCTACCTCCACATACCAGTTACATATTACAGCCACTAGATGTTATAGTGTTTCAACCATATAATCACTATCACACTAAAGCTATTGAGACAGCAATACATACTAGATATACAGATTTTGACAGAGCAGAGTTTCTATCAGCAATTGATTCAATTAGGCAGTAAATCTTTAAGGCATCAACAATTCATTCTGCCTTTCATACCACTGGCCTTGTACACTACAATCTAAATGTTGTACTAGCAAAGCTCCATGAAGTACAAGAGATTCAGTCACTACTATCTACTCCATCTTCTTCCTCATTGTAGCTTCCTCAGACTTCTTTGACTATTTGTAACTTCAACTAACATGGAATTGAGCTACAATAGGCAGCTCTTAATTTATCATCCACATTTCAGTATCGCCTACGAACAGTCCTTAAAGGTGGTATAGTAGAGGCAATATTTCGAGAACAAGTAGTGGAAGATCTTGCAAATACAAAGGTAGTACAGAAGATAAGGACTGCTCAAAAAAGGTCATGTCATATTGTTTAAGAAAGTGGGCTTTATTCTCATGAGGCACAGCACATAGTCAAGCAAAAGGGAGAAGTGGAACTTTAAAAAGCAGAAGTAGCACTACGTCATGCACAGTTTGCAATAGAAAAAGCTGGAACAGAAAACATAAACTATTTCTTATAGAGGTTAAGGCTAGTTGGAAGAAGGTAGTAAATTTGAGAAAGGATTACAAGAAGATAATGAAGGTATTGTATATAGAAATTAGGAGGAAAGGGCATAAAAAGTACTGTCTGAGATAAATAATAACAGTTTTACAGCCAAATAAAAATTATGATATTCAAAAATTATTGTTGAGTATGAAATTATTGTTGAGCTGTCAGGCACTACTCTGGAGTGCCAAAGGTTTGTGAGCGTGCGAGCAACTGGGAGTTGTGGCCTCCAGCCACAACCTTGGCACGTTTAAGAGGTAGGATAAAGGGAAAATTCAAAAAAAAAAAAAAAAAAAAAAAAAAAACCCCACCATAAACCCGGGTGTATGGTGGCTTACGAGGACCTCCCGAAAATACCGTCTTCGAGCTAGGCATATAAAGTTACACGAGTGCTATGTGGTGACGCAGTAAACCAGTTTGAGTATCATACCTCGACAAATAACTATACTGTTGTTGAAAAATACCGCAATTCGAATCAGAAATCTCAATGCCATGCGATAGCTTCATTTTTATATATACAATAACTAATATATCGATGAATCCCTTACCTTTCATATCGGAGGGGTGACATCAATCCGAGCTCAAGAGTGAAATCAGAGATACAGAAGAGACCCCTCCCCTCTCCACCTAGAATTCCATTTAACCATCTTGATCACCGTCATCTTCCCATGAACGCCAACTAATAGATCAACCCTGATAAAATCGCAGAATAAACAAAGATGCTGATAACAATGCATAGAGTATAAACTGGAAAGAAAATGAGAGCAAAAATATAGTTAATTTAAGCAAGTATTAACTCCGGTACTACCTCCCCTTCCCCATGATGAAACAGAGCAAGGAAATTGCAAGGAAATGGAAAGAAAGAAAGCACACAATGCTGTTTGGTTCTAAACCTGCATGTTCTGAAAATTCTGCCATACGGCTCGTTCAGCTTCTAATATTGCGTTGCATTCCTTTAACTTCGCTTCCTTATCCGCCAATGCCTTCCGTAGCTCATCCACCTCGGATTTCAGGCCCTTCCGGCACTTGAGCGCCTGCATCCGTCCACTCAAGTTGTCTAATATTCTTTCCATAAGTTCATCCTCTGACTCTTCCGGACGACCATGACTAGCACTACTAGGGAACACACTTTCACGGGATGGAGTATTAGGCAGAGGAGTGGGTATTCCGATTTGTTGCTCGATCGTAGATGGTGGCGGTAGAGAGGCCTTCCCCCGAGACATAAATCCTGCTTCCTCCCAGCTTTGGATGAGCGAAACCAACCCGTTCGTATATAGCAAGCTGGCTAACTGATTTCGCATGACCCGACTGCCCCGAGAAGCCTCCAATGCCCCCGAAATGATGTGGATCTTACGCCAGGTAGCCAAGTTTTCTTCATGCGCTCGATCATAGCCCTCCGGCTCATCACAAACCATCGAGTCGTTTGGTATTGATGGCAGGGGGAGTGCAGATGGTTGCGGTGATGGTGGTCCCACCGATCTAGACGGTAGATTGTGCTCCCTCGGTATGATGCCTTCATCACTAGGGGCAGGATATTCCTGATCAGTAGGTGAATTATCCCTTGCCCCTCTAACCTGGACCTGAAAACCAACAGCCTTCTCCAGGCCCCAAGCACTTTGATCGGTTTTCTGGGAAAGGCTACTCGTATCTGTTTCATCAACAGAATTCTCTGGCGGAAAACCAATTCCTTGTGACCCCATCTCTTCACTGCCTTGCCCCGTGCTCCATCTCCTAACCCTGTCCCGCTCCCTCTTCCGTGCTTGACGTACGCGAGCCAGCTCCCGTTTCCGCTGAAGTCGTTCCTCGTCGGTAAATGTCGGAGGTCTTCCACGAGGCCGTTTCTCTGGCTGACTCATTTTTTCGGGGAGCGCAGGGCCCACTGGCTGTTGAACACTCGTCATGAGGGGCGATAAAGTTAACTATAGGTCGGAAGGGTGCTCGATTGTTGGGAGAAGAAAAGAAAAATAGTGGGAAGGCGAATCGGCGGGGGGAGTAGGGAAAGATTAAAGTTGAGAAAAGGAAACGAAGGAAAAGAAGAAGAAAATGGCCAATTTAGTCAAAAGCAACAACCACAGAGGAAGCAAGCGGAAGTCTAACGCAGCAGAAAAGAGAATAAGCAAGAATTGAGATCCCTTTTTATCCTTTCCTTCCGGAAACGGGGAGGAGATGAGGCCTCACTTATGAAGTTAGCGAAATAGACATAGACCAGCTACCCAGGGAAAATAGTTGTATGAGGCAGTTTTAAGTGCTTTCAACCCGATGAGTGAGCGTGACGTTCCTGGGGTGTATGGTGATGGGGGAAGCGCGTGACGAGTTTGTGGAAAAGGTGTTCTGCTGTGTGTCTCGTTTGGGAAGAGTAAACTGTGTCACGGCGATTGGGCCGCGTCTAGTGTTGACATGGTTTGGGTCCAAGTTGAAAAAAGCGTGATACTTTGTACTACGGTATCGAAACTTGAGAAGGTACGATATCTTACTGAATTTTACAAGTACTCGTACTGTACGGCACTTGTACCGCTACTCCGCACTGCACTCGAGCACCGGTGCAGCAAAACAATTGTAATGATACGATAACTACTATGTACTGTACGGCTGTACGGAGCACCCTCAACACCGGGTACAGGAAGCTCCTCAGTCGCTGGTATCTCGTTCAAGAGAGCTCCCCCGTTGTGATGATACTCTGAGCTCATTATACTATGATAGCTGCAATTTCACTTCACGATGAGCGCTGGACCTTGGGCATACGAGTATGATACTCCTACTCTCGGTGCGCCCTCCGCGAAACATTTCCTCATTAGTTTTTTTTTTGTCTTGGAGGTATGATTTGATAATCTAGGTCGAACTCAAATTTACTACACCCACCACGTCTTGGCACCTGGGCATCCTTAATTTCTAATTTCTAAACCCCCATCTGTCCAAAGAACCTCACCAACCACGACATATGATACACGAATTTGCAAACTCAACCGCAGACCGTAATGGGAAAATCGAGCAAAGATAAACGAGATTCCTACTACAGGCTCGCCAAAGAGCAAGGTATGATCTCCTAAACCCTGATCCTTTGAGTGCCCAGGTGTTAAATAGCGGAATTGACAGGATGGCGAACCCGCTCTGCATTCAACCTACACCGCTAAACTCCCAATTC